GCGGTCATTAATATGGAAATTTTTATGTGAGAATATCTTATTTTTTTTTTCAATAAGACTCACTACTAGATTTTTTGACACGCGTCAAACGCGGCATTAGAACATTCAAAAAAAAAAATTCATTGTTTTTTTAATACACGGGAGAATGTAAAAAGAACAAATATCAAATGGTATATATCTCTCATATTTTATCTTACAAAAATTAATTTGCATGACACTTAAATTAAATGTAGAGAATTTTTGAGAAATGCCATATTTGAGATGCCACTTTTCAAAAATGCCATCATTTTTTTCAAAAGTGTCACTAATCCTCTATATATTAATTGAGTAGATATTTGGTAAAAAAAAGTCATATGCGTTATTCAATTAGGTTTTTAAAGAACATATCATTAACCAATGAAAATATTTCTATTAAAACTTCATGGTAGAAATCTACATGTTTTTATTAATTTTATAACATAAATCCATTAATACATGTTTTACAGATTTAAGTGTAACATAATGTAATATTTAGACTTACCATATCGTCTTTTTTTTTTAAATTGATATATTAAGAAGTTTTTCATTATTATATTTGTAACAACATTATTTATTTGTAGATGATAACTACCCTTACAAATATTTTTACATTTTATTACTGGAAAATTATATTTTTCGTTTGTTATGTCCGATAAATTCGTATAAATCTAAAAATTCATTTGATTTATCGCATGTTCTATAATTTACACAAATAATAAAAGTTCATTTTACACTTCAAATAAATGGAAGTAAATTACATTTGTATTAGTTTTACTAATATTTTTAGGCAATGTTGATCAAAGCATATGACATCAAAATATGTTTGATCAAAATTTAACTTTATTATATTTATGCACAATACATATTATTTTGTGCGTTTATAAATATTGTAATACACGTCTAATATATGAGTATTAAGATTGATTAGAAAATATATTTAAATACTTAATCTCATGCTTGACGTGGGTCAAAATCAAGTATTACATTACTTGTAAGTCCGGCCAAGTATTAAATCAGTAAAAAAAATTTACTACTCGGCTTGATATTCATTTAGATGATTTGGCTTGATACTCGTTATATATTACTTTATTGATATTCTCTATTAGCTTGATATATTGTTGTTAAAAAAAAGCTAGCCTAGGTAATATTCATCTGCCAATAAATAGCATTAGCCAACTGCTTCATGTTTTTCTTCATTGGCCAATAAAACTTTAGTCCACTACATTATTTTAATGAGATCTAGAGATTATCGACTAATCTCTTCCTACTATGATGTGGAGCATTGAACCCAAAACTTTTATTTTAAAATTTTTATGTTTTGGAACTTTAATATTTTATGATTTTAGGATGTTTGAACTTTGAATGTTTTGTAATTTGTATGAAGATTTTTTTATATCTAACTACTTTCAAGTAGCAAGTGTATAATTTTGACAAGTTCAAGCCGAGTCAAGGTAATTGCAATAATAGGATTTTGGACAAGTACTTGATGTAGCAAGTACTTGATTCGAATGAGTCAAATATCAAGTCGAAATTTCTGTTACTTGAACAAGCTAAGCCGGGCTACAAGTGCTTAAAAACCAGTAGGTATTCGGCTTGTGCCCAGGCCTAGAAGTGACACATGATTAAAAATAACTTCAAATGTTTATCCTTTAATATATAGAGAATTCCCGTGAATATTTCAATCACTTTTGTGTTTAGTGTTCAAAGTAATGTATCAATGCTATAGAACTGAAATTACCAAATTTTAAAATAGTTTAAACATAATTATAAAGATTGCTTGTTTAAATTGTGACACGCCCTGACCCAATCAATTTGAGCCATAGGTCTCGCGCGCTAACTTGCAGCACAAAAAATACACCTGCACACACTGACAAAGGAGAAAAGGAAGGGTGAGCAATTCCGGGATGAATTTCTCAGTGAGAGAGATCACATCTGTACACACGATTCATATTAAACA